CTCCATACCACTGATTTCTCAACACCTTGACCAGGCTCGCAGCCTCTCTCCATGCCCTTTTCATGATTCTGTGTCCCTGAACACATATCCATGCCTTTGGCCAGACCCTTTATACAGACTCTTTGCATTCACAAATCCCAAACTGTCACCCAACCCAATCTCCAATTCCCTTGGATATTATGCCAAAATTGAATCCCACGCTCTTGAAAGCTGCTGTCCTATTCTGCATAATGGGACATAAGAATATCTCCTCAACATTAAAACAGGGTAATCTCTTTTTCATGCTACTTGTACTCTGGACCAGGGGTCGTTAGGGAGCACAGAAAAACCACCAACACCAAAATACTTGTTCCAGATACAGACCTAACACAAAATCTAGGCCAAAGAGTGTACAGTGCAGGAGGAACCTTTCAAGAATACAACTGTCAAAAATCTAACACTACTGAGTACACCCAGATTCTTCTTTCCAAGATACATAACACTGGCAAATGTAGAATGGTAAAAGACACATTAAAGATCAAAGCTACCCTTTCACAGAAACTCAGGAAAGAAGTTTTGTGATATTTTAACATGGGAACACAATGCAGTCTTCCCTATTCTCATTTTACAAAAAGGTTGGACAACTTATTAAGTTTTCCATAAATAAATCAAACCGAGTTATTGGGAACAAAAAGGTAACCTATTATAACAAGGTCTGAAAAAAGTCACAACAGAAAACAAAGTTTAAGGGTATGTGCAGACAACTGTAACTGAAGGAGTTAAAGGGGCTTCAGATATTATCATCCCTTTGTTTGGAGATGAAATGTGGTAATTAAATCTCTGAGTGCTCTTAGTCTAATACAGTAACACTCATTTAGGTAAACTTAACTTAAACTTCCTTTATTGGTGGTTTAAGCAAGCATGGGTTCTCCAGGACACATATAGAATCACAGAATGGTTAAGGTTGGAAGGGACCTTAAAGACCATCTAGTTCCACCCCCCCTGCCATGGGCAGGGACACCTTCCACTAGACCAGGTTGCTCAAAGCCCCATCCAGCCTGGCCTTGAAGATATCCAGGGATGGGGCATCCACAACATCTCTGGGCAACCTGTTCCAGTGCCTCACCACCCTCTCTGTGAAGAATTTCTTCCTGACATCTAATCCAAACCTCCCTGATTTCAATTTGTACCCATTACCCCTTGTCCTATCACTACAGGCTCTTGTAAAAAGTCCTCTCCCAGTACCCTTGTAGGCCCCCTTCAGATACTGGAAAGCTGCAATGAGGTCTCCTCAGAGCCTCCTCTTCTCCAGGCTGAACAAGCCCAATTCTCGCAGCTAATATATGTTTAGTTCAATCAGATTTCCAAGCTGAGACATCACTCCAACCTGGGAAAGATACCTACGTCTTTAAATGTGTTAAAATCATCCTCTGTCATAACCTTACAATAAAAAGTCTCAGGAAACCTGTGTAATATTTCATATAAACAACCCAACCTATAGTAATGCTATTTCTCTGATGCCTGGACAGCTAAACAAATACATGGTGTGGACACGTGAAAGAGATTCAAGTTTTTCCTGCAGAAACAAGAATACAGAAGAAAAGTTGCTCATTTTCAGACATCTGGACTTCCTAAGTTCTAATGACCTGATTTGTTCTAATTAGCAAGGAAAGATATAGCTGGCCTTGAACTATGACACAAAATCAAGGGTCAAAAACATGGGAGATTTACATCTACTAACAAACCAAATATAAAGGCTTTTTAAAAGAAAAACACAAACAGAAATCATGTATTACATTATTAATCTGTTAAAGACAGGAATATACAGAACTCCAGTCCAGTAACATGTGCCAACTTAAATAGAAGTCTTTCTTGTTATAGGAGCCTCATTTTGCTCAGAAATTCCATCCAACCTAGAAGCATGGGAGAAAATCCATGTTATTTGAAACTTCATAGTTCAGTACTCTTCTCAGACAGTAACTTCTTAGGCCACAACCAACTATTTTGAGTAATGCAATTTTGGAAATTGGCCCCTAACACTAAGGAACTGCCACTTAAATTCAGGAAAGCTATGAGAGATTAAACCCATTAATATCAGTAGAACATGACACTCGATCCACAAAGAGGCATTTTTGTCTCACAGTTCACCCCTGTACAAAAAAAATAAGACAAGTAACATGCTTTAAATGAAAAAACAAGCAAGCTAAGACTGAAAGTATGCTGGTTTATAAAGTGACAGTAACTATTCCATGAACATTTCTTTCTGCATGTCGCTATCGGTTTTTCCTTACCATATATTCCATATTGGAAGCTGGTGGATACACCTGACCCCGTAATTTATTATGAAGATCCAAGATACTTTGCATATCACTGTCTGTGATAGCCCTTTTCCCTCTCTGCTTGGCGATCCACCACTCACCATCTTCATCCATGTACTTTTCCAAAAGTTCCTCTAAGAGCGTGGCATTGGGAAGAACCATTGCAGAAACTGCTTGAGCTATGAATAGCAAGGTAGTTGCTCTGAGCCATTTCTGTACTACATACTTCATGATGAATGATCTCAAAATGCTCAGGAGTTAGCTCCAAGACAAAGTCTTTCTTCCAGGTGTGTTGGCTGTAAATGCATAAGAGACAGTAATGTAATTTGGAGGTTGAAGTACTGGCCTGTATGAACTTCCTAAACAACACAACTAGTGTACAGAGTTTGCCACTGTGGTTTTAGGGGGAAAAACCAGGATGCTACTTATTTTTTTACTTTTTAAAGTATACACCATTGCTTTGGGGAGATAGCTTATCTTCAACCTTATGAACTTGGCTGTGTTCAAGCGGTTTTATACAGCACGCTGGCATGCACATTTCACTGCCTGCCTGCAAGAAAGCATCCACTTAAATGGGGCCAGACGTCAATAAGATTCGAGTGTAGATAAGGTTCTTCTGTACTGGGATTAAAAAAAAAGTTAAAAGGCTTGCATGCATTGCCAAAATGTGAACTGAAAAACAAAAAAGTTGATGTGAAATATCCCCTCCTGGTGCACTTCAAAAAAAAGACTTTGATTAAAACTTTAGTTTCAAGATTTCCAAAAACCTAATAAAACTAAAGGTATTCAACTCAGACGACAAAATGGGAGAAATGGGGTTATTCCATTCACCAAACAAAGGAAAGCACTCTCAGAAAAAGTAGCACCACTTCCAAGACTACAACATTCCAACACCGCTTGTTACAGGACACAGCGCTTTAGGCAGCAGAGCCGCGGTCACTCCTCAGCCTGGGTGGAAAAGCGTGATCCCGCCACGCCGACCGCGCCGCCGGGAAGGAAACAAAACGAGGCGAGGGGGGCAAAAGCGGGCTCTCCCCAGCGCCCGCAGCCGGCGGCCCG